CAAATCACCTTTCTTCCCCATACTGATGCTCGCTTTGAACTGCAGGAGATTGTCTTGACCATGTCCACATTCAGGCCATCTGAGCATGTTTCTGTTTTATTTAAAGAACCATGGCAGAAATGTCAGACTACGTATTATTAATGCACCCAACGTGTCATAACTTATCCTACCAAAGCCATTTGCTCCATATCCTCATGATAAGTTGTGGTCAGTTATAATAATTTAGATAATTTCCCAGGTGAATATTATCCATCCAACCGTTGCCTAGATCCTTTTATTTTAAGGGTATTTAGGAGTAGAGATGTTGCTTGTGATGGGACATAGAAGCGTTTAAAAACACACATGCTTTATGTTATATTCTGCTGTCATTAGCTTTAAGTGTGCTGCTCAGCTGAACCGGCTGAAAATGGGGCGAAGTTGATCCAGTGAATCCCAGGAAATGGGTCATTAGACCCAAACCGAGCAGAAAGAGGGGGTGTTCTCAGACTATATGGGACAATCAATGTTGCATTAACTGTATTTGCCAGACTTTGCTGGGTAAAATGGTGGAACTGGAGCTGGAAAGCAGATGTGAACGTTTTCAGGGGTCAGAGCAGCCAGAACTCACCTGATCAATGAAGCCTCCGAGGACCGACAGGTGTCTGGCTGGGTAGGAGGCGAAAATGTGGCCTGTGGCATTGATTCCTGTCACTGACAGAATACCACTTGTGAAGTCCATGAAAGCATCTGTGAAGATAGACAAACATATTTCACTGTGTAAAAAATATCTGTTTGGATCTTATAGAGAGAGACGCATGCAGACCACTGACCATAATACAATCCAAAGACTGCTGCAGCTCCTGCAAAAGCACCAAGGAACTGAGCAATGACATAGAAGGGAAACTTCCAGATCTTCAGTTTGCCCAGAATCACCATAGCCAGAGACACGGCGGGGTTCACATGGCCTCCTGGGACACAGAACCAACACAGAGTGACAGAGGGGTGCAGTGGTGAGGTGGGGGCTGACTTAATATCCTCTCCATTATTAGAGAAGCTGTCACATTTACAGGAAGCAGCAGAAGGGGAGCAGGTTACCATTTATTATGTCTGTCTGAGAGCAGAAGACAGAATAATGCTCACGGATTAGAAATTCAACACCAACCATTAATCTCACAAGGTGGACTCAGATTAGGAGGGTAAACTTTAAAAAATGTGATCGAAAATTTGAGTTTTTCTATTATTTCATAATTAATTTATGCTATTTACTCACTATAAAAGTTTTCACACAATTCCCCTGCGTGAGGGGAGTTTGTAGACAAGACATCCTTATTCCAATGACAAACCAGAATTTTCCTCAAGGTTTATTCATTACAAGTGTCTGTAATATGTTTTCACTCTGACAACTTTCCATTATTGTAAGTAAGGGGGAACGAACGCTGGCCAGATCAGCACAGGGCTGATTACTGTGCAATAGAGACTGACAGGGGAGTGGATTTTCACTCCTGTCCCGTCCCACTCCTGGTGAAATTACTCCCGCTCCCATTCAGAATGACTCCTGCTCCTGCTCCACTCCCATTCTTGTTGTTTTTGAGCGCAGGTGAAAAACTCAGAGCGGAAGCACTGTTGGTTTTTGGGT